ATCAACGTGCAACGTGGATTATATTTATGCCCAATTTTAAATCAACGTTATCATTTTTTTGCACAAAATTTGTGATTGCATATATATCAATTGACAACAATGGGATCTTCACTATATTGAACGTTTTTTTAGACTTATTCGCCTTATTCTTATTGGCCTTTTAAATTTCAGATTACTGTCGTTTTGAATCATCATGAAGCGGATTTTCCTGTATTATAAGCTTGCACAATTTTTATCATTATTATACATCAAACAGTCACGGAAAAATCCAAGTCAGTACATCTGGACGCATTGCAGTGCTCAAGAAATTTCCCTCAGGAAAAAACGTTGTCGTTATGGTCATCACAGGTTTCGATCTTCTATTATGTTAGATATAACCTGGAAAGTTATTTTCGATAGTTCCTACCAAAGAGTGGACTAGAGGGACATTGCTCGTCTTCTACCACTGTGAAATTTTGTCAAGTTAGCTTTCTTCAATTTCCATCACTGGTGAAGACTGTTCAGGGAATCTTGCTAATCTAAAACTTTCGCAGGAATATGCCAAATTGTTAACTGTAATAAAAATAGTTGAAAAAGTAAACTGATGTTGTCGGTCAAGTAGTAAAGTAGCTATCGATTAAAAAATAAGATGATTGTAAGTAATAAAGCAACGAATATAATAGTTATGATGTAAATAGCGAATTTTGCTACAAGAAGCATTAGTTTCAATCTGTTTATAAACTTGACGTGCCAATTTGCTAATAGCGTTTGAAACTGTATTAATTATAATTCTCATTCACTGCATCACATCATCTGATGTGATTTAATTATTTAGAACGTTTCGAGAGTTGTCTAATCATTTCATTTTGAAGTTCATATAAAATATTGTTGATTTAGTTCGAAAATTTTCCACTTTATGGTTGAGAATATTTTTAGCTCCGGAGCAGCAATATGGATCGGCTGTCGATATGCTTTTTTTATTACAGTTGGTATGAAAAATACGCAAAAATTGATTGTAAAAAATCGTGACACTAATAATCGAAAAGTAATCATATATCCAATCGAAGTTTATCCAATACTATGCGATAAACCTGTTGCTTTCATCGATGAGCTTGTTGCATTTAATCTTTCTAATAGAGGACTTCGTCTTGAGGATGCATTAATTAAGGTTTTTTTTTTTTGCATTTATGTATACATTTTAACTCCAAGCGTTATTAAAATTCCTCGGTTAGTTAGCACAGCACTTATTCAGTATTAGATTCCTTCATCATTTGAAAGAAAAACGAAAAATTCTTAATCCAATCACTCAGACTATTTTTGTTTAATCTATCCTTTCAAATTTACAATCATATTTTATAGATACAGAGTGCATCAGTCAGCATATCGCTATGGAAATGATATGCTTTCAGTTACTTCGGCTGCCGTTACATTAATTAGTAATATTTGGTCTTGCAATACTTGCCTTAAAAGATTAACAAAAAATTTTTCTTTACAGTTATAAAAAAAAGACAATAATACAAAAAATGAAATGTAAATGATATTAGGGGAATTGATGCTCGTGTGTCACTATCCTAATTACATGTGATATATAATTTTATTTGGAAGTTTTATCCATAGATAAAATGTATATGCTAATTAATATTGGAGATTCATTTTTTAGCGGTCGTTTCTATATTCTGTTTTTAAGCACTTTGGACTATTATTTAATAAAAAATGATATTAATAAAAAATAATACAATGAAAAAAATGATAGTTTTAGTTATTCTGAGCATCAATTCCTATCGTATCATGTCATTCATCATATTACATTTCATTTTTTTTTTGTACTCATTACGATAATAAATCTTTTTTTCTTTTTTTTTTAAATTGTAAAGAAAATTTTCTTAATCCGTTAAGGCAAATGTTGCAAGATCCAAATATTATTAATTAATGTAACGGCAACTGAGGTCACTTGAAGTATAATAACATCATTTCCACAGCAATATACTGATTGATATACTTGGTATATTTTGTTCAAACTGGCAAAAAATTACATTATTTTTAGACTTTTTATTCTTCGGATATCATCGATGAGGCAGAACCTTGTATTTCATGCGGTGTTCATTTTGCTTTAATTATTACATCTTTTTATCATCCACGGTCTGATTATTCTGACGCACTTGTGGAGTATTTCCAAACATCAAGGTTTATATTTCATTCTTTTGGTTATTCTTTCTTGCTCTCATTTAATCATCAATTTCCATTGGATGTTATATCAGTTATTATAAAAGACTAATTCCTATCAAAATGTTGTAACATTATGATTGGAATTTATCAAAAAAGGTTACATCTTTTTGGTATTTCCATAATATCAGTGCAGTTATTATACATCATGAATCTGTTCAAGATTTAAACCTACATGTATCTCAGGTCCGAAACTTTCGTTACACCACTATAGGGTTTCCAAGGCTTTTTGATTTTAGCCGCAGTAATATCTCTAAATTTACATATTCTGCGATTGATGTAATTTTTGTGGAAATAATGTGTACATTTTTTTAGACTGGTTGCAGTAGGGGATATCATTGCTGTTCGCTGGCGTAGACCATTTAGCAGAATAGTGAAAGAGATATTTTTCAAGGTAATTATACTTGCTAGGATAAACTCTGGATAAGCATTAATTTTTGAGAGCTGTAAACGTTATTTATTTGAATGAGCTTAGCGATTTGTTTAGAATTTACTCTTTTTGAAAGCGGTTCACTTCTCTTTTGTTTTTTTGATAATCATGTTATATTTTCAGATTCTTTATTTTGAAGATTCGGAGAGACTATCAGAAGCTATCGTTGATTCAGAAAATACAAAATTATTTCAGGTCTTTCGATATTTAATTTTTTTTGCACTAGAAAGATAATTTCACTTTTTTTCATCTTAATTATGTTTTATATTTTTAAGACTTTCTTTGCACTTAATTATTATGGTTTAGTTTTCTCGTATCGAAATATTGATCATCAAATTTTATAATTCTTGCAAATTTTGGCGAATTGCATTCCTCCAGTTGTTCCTTTTCGACTTTAATGATATTCCGTGTTATTTTATAAATATATTCTTAAGACTTTGTTTTTTATCTTTAAAAATGAAGCCTGACATCTTACATCAGACATTTTCCATCGAATTAAAGGAATTAATTTTGCTTTTAATTTGTTTCGAATATCACTACTTGTATTTTACAGGATGAAGAGATTTACGATAAAATCCCATACAGTGATATTACATGTTACGTGCCGGAAAAATTCTTAGGAATAGCTAGACAAATTTCTTCTCTGATCGAAGCTAACTGTAGCTTGAAAACATCTTCGTCAATTCTGGTTATACTTCTCAGTGGTTCACCAGGTTCTGGAAAGAAACTGTTCTTGAAGCATTTATCTTCTCTGATACATTTGAACGTTTACTTCTCCAATTGCTTTGATATTTGGAGTGATGCAAATGGGACTTACGAAGCAAATATTCGTAACGCTTTTGAAAAAGGTTTTTTCTGATTACATTATTAATACCTTAGAAATATTCCGTTTGATCTTTTGCTTAATTCAATATTAAATTCAAATTTATACGAATTTTTAATCGTTTATTCCTTAATCTATTTGGTATATATCAATTATTTTAGCTTCAACAAATAATTTTTCATTGTTGGCTCTTTTAAATGCAGATTTACTTGGCTACGACTCAGACGGCGCCAAGCAAGGTATTTATTTAAGCTTCATAATAGCAAAACTCTTATTTTTTTTTTCATAATTTCGTTATCAATTATATTAAACTTAACATAAATACAATGTCTTGAGTGACTTCTTTATTTTAGAACAGAAAACATTGTTTGCTATACATCTTATTTGGAAGGAATAAATCAGTGGAGATCATAATTGTTTAACAGAATTAATTTCAGACGATCATAATATTATCTTAAGTTTAATGGGTGAATACTGTATGCGAAGAATTTTTTTAAGGAAATAGTTGAGCTTATTTAAAATTCTAAGCTGGTGAATTAAAAGACAGAGTAAATATTATAAATTTATTTTAAAAAGATCGGAGCAGATTTCTCTTTTGCATGTGATTAATGTCAGCTGGCGGAATAATTAAAAATATTCTGTTTCATTAGGACAATGATAATTATTTCTCTGTCGAATTGTTAGTAGATCTGCAGTGCATTTTTTGCGGACATTAGTAGCTTTAATTGCAAATTTAATTTATTTTGGTGTCGAATATCTAGTTTTTTAAAGCTTTCAAAAAGTAATTTTTTGCAGATACTCGAGGATTGATATGTTTAATAAAATTTCTTAAAACTTCCACCATACCTGCTATATTTTTGGTTTGTAATTGTGACAAATTATCAACCTTACCGATATCATTACGTTCTCTAATCCTTTACCATTTCCAAATCCCACTGCTTACCGAACAGGATAGAAAATCCATAATTATGCATGAAGTTGATGAATCATATTTCATCGACATAGCTGCAATCAGTCATCAAACAAGCGTAGGTTGTTTTAGATTCTTTTTTTTCATTGAAATTTATCATATCTATCATTTTAACATAAGTCGATTTCAGTGAAATCTTGATGTCAGTAGATTACTGGAAATTAACGATATACATAATTTGCTAAATTTTAGGGATTTACTTTATCCGATATGCATGTTCTGTTGTCGGATGCATCATTTCGAAAAGACGCTGAAAAATCGTGAGTCTTTTTTGATACTCTTAAGGAAGGGCAGTTAAGATATACGATGATTTCAAATATTTTGAATTCTTTTTTTTATAGATCGAAACTAAAGACTGAACATTTCATATGGGCAATTGATAAACATAACAAGATATTGGCTGATAAAATTGGAGCACCCATTGTAAGTTATCAATCACTCTGATTTGAAAAGATCACGGATAGGTCATACAGTATGAAAAAAAAAACTACTAACTTTATAATGCATCTGAACTATAGTTCATTTTGCAGGCAGCTATAAAAATTATCTTTAAAATTTAATGTTATTATTGTAGATTGTGTTTATCATATCAGTAATCATTCTAGTTCATCGTGTTTAATTCATCATCTCTTGTCCTTATTTTGACCGTTTTCTTTATTTCTGTAAATATGCAACTTCATCCATTTGTTGGCAGAAATTTGAAAAGCAGGTTAATTAGTACAGAAAAATTTTCTGAAAAGTTGAGCCTCTAACTTCTTAAATTCTTTAAGACTTTAAGAGGTTATTTATAGGCCTAGAATTGTATTATCCTAAAATTACGATTTTTCTGCTTCACGCATAGGCAAATTTATAGATACCAAAAGTGACGTGGGACGATGTTGGTGGTTTAGACGAGGTTAAGCAAGTTGTCATTGAAAGTTTAATTCTGAATTTGCGAGGGAAGAAGAATATGAAACGTAGTGGTGCTTTGTTGTATGGTCCTCCTGGTTGTGGCAAAACACTCATTGCTAAAGGTTTGAATTTGATTAATAAAGCCACAGGTAACGACGATATCGGGATTTAAATTGAAAATCATATTTGCTTGAAAGCTTAAACCTTCTTCAAAATCGAATGTTGTAAATTTCAATTTGCATATTTTTTTGTTTTTATTAAGCTACAATAAGTTTATATAAGAAAGTAAAGTGCTTGACTTGGGTTTGTGTTGATTTTTTTAAATTTTGCAATACCAAAAAAATTCCTGACTATTATTTTGCAGCTATTGCAAATCAATTTAAAATAACTTTTCTGAGCGTGAAGGGACCTGAACTTCTTAACAAATATGTTGGCCAGAGCGAAGCGAACGTCCGTAAAGGTGAAAATTTTTTTTAACAATGTTTTTTTTTTTTTTTAACTGAGTGTATTCTTGAATTCTGTTACGTCTCATCAATTCCAAACAGTCTTAAATCAAATAATTATTATCATAGTGATGACGGTGTTGCAGATATCTGAAATTTGCTTAAATTACTTTTTTAGTTTTTGAGAAAGCTCGAATGGCCGAACCTTGCGTGTTATTCTTTGATGAACTCGATTCTCTTGCTTCCAAACGAGGTCGCTGCGGTGATTCTAGTCGTGTGGTTGATAAGTGTGTTTGTCAACTGTATAATTCAAAATATCCATTTTTATAATTTTTGTAGTGTTTTATCACCATAATTTGCACCATCAGAATCATATTTAATTCCAGCATTGTATCGCAATTGACTGCAGAGTTAGATTGTTTGGAAGATTTAAAAATCTTTGTTTTGGGTGCCACAAATCGACTTGATTTGTTAGACTCATCGCTGCTAAGACCAGGAAGGTAATTCGGAAAATTTATATCATGTTCTGTCATCATTTAAAGACTTTTATATAGCTCATGTGTTTTGAAGAATGAAAAATTCTACTTCGTTTTTGCCATTTTTGTTTTTACTCATTTTTACTATTTCATTTTATTTATTTATGATTTATTTTAAGGTTTGATAAAATTATTGAAGTAAGTGGAACAAGGGATGTTGTAACGCATGAACGTATACTCCGTGCAGCTAGCCGAAATATAACATTTGCCGATGATGTCGATTTGAGAGAAATTGTGTGTCATGCTTGAGTTAATTTATTCTTAAATAAATGCTCATAGCTTTGTATGGCTTCCAAAATATTGTTAATAATAAAAATTAATGAAAAAAAAAGTATGTTTGAAGTAAATGTGATTTCTGTTATTTTAATTGAATAATATTTTAGTATGTTAGTCAGCCTAAGCGTACAATTTTTGTGCAAGCCTGTTTGAATTCATGACTGTTAGTTGCATATCATTTTTTGGCAATTGTGCTCATATTTTTGGCTCTTTAGACCTTATTTCAGTTTTCGCGTATTCCTTAAAGAACTTTTTAGGCAGAGTGCTGTGATCATCTGTCATCAGGAGCAGATTTACATGCTGTAGTTTCGCGTGCACAAATGGATGCAATACGGAAGCGGGTCGAAGCTATAAAAGCCGGAGTGGTATTACCTGAGGAACAATTGTTAGTCACACAAGATAATCTAAAAAAAGCAGTGAGAGAGGTCAGTTTTTCCTTAACCGTTTTATCTTAGAATAGAAGTGAACTTGGTACAGTTTTAGATTACATGCAGGTGGCTTATTTTTGCCTCATTTTTCAATTACAAAAAATTTTTTGTGATTAAAATTATTACAAAAAAATTCTTACAATTTTGAAAAGATGCAGCTGGAACGTGGAACTCATAAGTGGATGATTAAACAAATTGCAGAAATATTCCTGTGGAAAGTAATGTTTTCAGGTAATTCCATCATCTGGCACTAATTGCAAACAGCTGCGTAAATTCTAAGTTTCTAAATTCTTTCGATTTCGCAGAAATAGCACAGTCTTTTCAATTTTTTAATGGAATGATCATTAAAATAGTTAGATTGTATTACTTTTTTTTGCATTAATATTTATTTTATAACATTGTTGTTTTCTTTTTCTAAATTTCACTTGCCAAAATTGAATTGATCCTTGATCTTGTGTACATTACACTCCTGTTCATGTATTTCGACTGTGTGATAATTTTTTATGTGATAATTTTAAATTATTTCTCAGTTTTCAAATATTATATATTGATGTATAAATGTGCTCTAATTGATTTTGCTTAGAACGTATATTTTGATTTTCTGAAACTTCCTACTAAAAAAGATTCTTGTATGAGGGAAAAAAATGAGCATTGCAAGGGTACCTTGCCCTTTGTCAACATGATTCATTCCCAAAATTTCTCAATCAATTGTTTAACATTCAATGAGGATGAAAAGATAATTGTGAAAATTACTTTTTTTTCACTTCTAATTTTCGTGGGTAAACAATAAATTAATGTCCATCGATAATAAAATAGTGAGTGGTTCAACTGTGTTTGTGTTTCAGTGTTGCTGAAATCAGAAACTAAGTAAAATTATAGATAGAAAGGAAGAAACCCGTCAACCTTATTCACCTCATTAATTATGTAACTGGCTGAAAATACCGGATCCCATTCGATCAATTTAGGAAAAAAAAAATGAAAAATTAAACAAGAATACCAAACATTTGGATGAATGTGTTGTTTGTTAGTGATATTTTCATTGGGTAAATTTAAGCTTTCCTTAAACTTTTAGAATTTTTTTTCTTCTTATGGAAGGCAATGAAATTCAAAAAATTTGATCATGCCGAATATTTTAAACAATGGAAAAAAGACACCAATCACTCATCTTTACCGATTTTACATCCTTTAGTTCCATTCATAAAATAATGTTCAATACACTTTCAGTGATCTTTCAGTTTTGGTAAAATTTAGACGTTTTTAAACTTTCAGTTTGTTTGGCATGGATTTTTAACTTATGCAAAATTTAAAATGAAAAACAAAATTAATTTAGTTACGCATTTGGAAATGACGCAAAAGGAACAAGAAAGTTGCTTAAAATGGATAGTTCTTATCTCAGTATGATTGCATTCCAATTTCATTTCAATTTCTGTTAGAATTTTCATAACTGAAATTATTTATACTTTTCTATTTCTCATTTCTCATTTATTTATTTATTTTTTTTAAAATCGGTTTTCTTTTTTTTTTTTTTTAATTTCTAGCTTCTTTTTTGTAATACAAATTATTAGCTTTACATACCATTTGTACGCTTACTATAGTTAATGCTTGTATTTTTTCCTTTCTTTTCTTTTTTTTTCTATGTATAAGAAAATCATTTATATTTCTTGAGTAAAAGAAAAGGATGAAAATTTTTCTATCATTCAACTATTTTCCACATATTACTTTACCATAATCATCTTCACTACAAATTCCTCACATCATTAAATTTTCTGAGTTTATAGCAAAACAATTATTTCACTTTTTTTGATTTACTGTACATATTGTTATGCTTCCATAAAAATAATTCGATTTTTCTTGTTTTTTGTTTCGTACACGCAAAAAATATTTTAGCAAATTAGGAGAAGACAAATAACTCAAAAAAAGATCGCTGAAGTCCGTTTTTTTTTTTTTGCTTCAGACGCAAAAAAAAAAACAAACTTTCAAGGTCTTCGTTAATTTTATCTGACATTGTTAAGATTTGCATCACTCAAAATAACAATTTCGAAAGCTTTGATAGGTTTTTTTTTCTTTTCTAAGTGACACAGTAAAATATGAAATAGGAAATCGAATTAACTAAATTTGAAGGATAATGTTTGAACATTTTATGAAGCGAATTTTATTTTAAGTTCCGAGTTATTATTTCGACTGAATTTGACCCTTGGAATTTGAAGAAAAATCGATGACGATGACCCTGGCATGACCTTTCAGCTTTTTGCTTTGAAGGAGTATATTGAGACAAGAAAAGATTAGTTAAAATATTAGCTCTTCATCGCCCGCGAACTTTTCCGTCAACAAATTTTTTTCCCATCGAACTAATAATAATTATATGGTTAACTTGTATATCAAATGATGAAAAAATCTTATTATTGAATTTAACTTTTTTTGATAGCTGATAGTTAAATGACAGTTAAATGATAGCTAAATGATAGCTGTCAAATTTACATAGTCATTCAACACTAACATTGATTCTCTCGTGAACATTGTAAAATTGAAAATTAGGGAAAATTGATCTGTTAAAGTTACATTCTTTCAAAATTGAATTTAGAAATTTAATGGAATTCAAAAACTTGTAACTCTTGAAATCTTGAAACTTTGAAGCACAAAAATCTGTTATAAAAATATTGTCGATATGATTCTTTTTATAATTCCTTTTTAGAGATGTGAAAAAAAAAAAGGCCGTGCAAGTAAGTCAAAGAAAATTTCACGTAATGTAAAATTTGCATGGATGAAATATGAATTTCGGATTAAATTAATTTGTTACGGATGATGGAGCATTGACAAATTGTCAAAATGGCATTGATATTAACTGGCAAATAAGAGGAAAATGACGAAAGTATTTATTGATTTTTCTAGTGAAAGAGAAAAGATTCCTTTCAAAATTTAACAAATAAAACTTGAGTTTGGAAATTTAGCGGAATTCAAAAATGAGAAAAAAAATATCGGTCCATTTAGTGAAAAATGAAAAAAAAAATTCTCTTTCACTGAAATTTATTGTATGTCTAAAAATAATAGCGCAAAAAAAAATTTCCTTTTTTTGAATACACGCAATAACTAATTAGCAATTAATGATTATGTTATTTGTAAAAAAGTTATTGCTCTATTTTCAATCTGCTAATTTCTTCAGATCTTCATTTAAATTTCATCCAATTCAAGAGTAAACATTTTTCATATTCTACTTATTTATTGAAATTAATGCAAATTCAATATCGTTCCAGTTTTTCAAATATGCATTATTTGCGGTATGTATTCAGTTTGTAACTTGCATATTAGGCAGATGTAATATCATTTAGTGAAATTTTCGAAATAAGTTGAGGATAAATTCCTACGATCATTTTCTTCATTGAGTGTAATTACTAATTCTCATTCATAGTTGTAACAAATTTGCAAATTACAGCCAACCTATCGGAAAATTCAAGAACTTTTACTTTTTTTTTGCATTAAAGTTCAATAATAAATAAAATAACAAATAAATAATAAATAGACAATAATAAAATGCATTAAAGTTCATGAAAGAAATAGGTTCAATAATAAATAAAATTCTTACGATCATTTCTCATTATAATTATTTATTATTCAGTATTCATCGTTACATCATATCAGTAGTAAATGAATCGATGATATTACAGTATCATAAACTTTTATCTTTTAAATCGTATTTATTTCTGTAAGTTCTTATAAATGAAAACGAATTAAAGATACTAAACAAACTTTAGGAAAAATGCTACTACGTTAATTCAAATTAATTTAAATATTTGACAGATTTAATTTAAAACTTTCCAAGTTTTAGCATGATATCGCTAATTTCAAGACGAGAAATGAATGAAAAATAAAATTAAATCAAAGTATTTGATGGATTTAATTCAAGGATTTTCAAGTTTTGATAAGATATCGCTAATTGCAAGACGAAAAATGAGTATTATTTTGACATATCGCATTTATCATTTTGTTGTTTTTACGGAAATTTTCCTCAATTATAGATCAGAATGATTTGACAGCATTTATTCATTTACTTGAAATTGAAGTGGCGAATGCTTGATGATTGTTCGATATTTTGAAATGAAGGAATCTCCTTTGCTCTCTCATCTCACTAAATGTTTTAGCAATATTACCTCCATGCAGAAATTAATAATTATCAAAAAAAAAAAAACTACTAATAATGAAAATCTATAATTTTTCATTTTTTTTTTCATAGTCAAAATTTTCATCATTATTATTTGAAATTGAAAATATCCTAATTTTTTTTGAGTAATTTCAAAAATATCAAATATTTGATTTTTGATATAATATTTGTAGAATATTTTATATTATCTCGTTGATTTTTTAAGATGTTATTTACAAACTAATGTGAAGTATGCTTCTTTTTTTTTTCTTTCATTTTCACAGAATAATAAACATTTTAATGATCTCTTGTTTGACCTGAATTTGAGCCTTAATATTTTTTTTTTGTGTAGTTCAAAATTTTGAAGGGCTCTCATTTTTCTTTCCTATCAATCGTTTGCTTCGTTTTTGAGATTTTCGAAATATGTGCTCAAAGGTCATCATTAGTTGAGAGTGATTTCTGGGTCATAAGTTTAACCTCTAACGTCAATTTCAATCAATCACAGATACAGCTAATTCTTTATTTCGTATCATTTATATTGCATATCAATACCTATTCGTCTTACGTTTATTTCGTTTTATTATATATCAAATTTGACCACCCATTGGTTTTAATGGCATTTGATGACCAAAATTTTTGCAAACTTTTAAGTTATTCAAAATTTTGCATTCATAAACTTTCCCTTTTTCACTTTTTAGTACTGCACTGACAACCTGTTCAGATTGATTTTTAAATTTTGGATGATAGGTATAGTTATATCATTTAAGTTTATCATTGCTTCTATCCATCAACATTGGAATATCATAATAACTATTATTTATTATGCAAATAATATTTATTAATCCTAAACATAGAGTTTTAAAATACAAGAAATTAAAGCAATTCTAATCTTTATCATTCATTACCTTACATTTACAACTTTTGTTTTCTCTCTTAAATCCAAAAATTAAAATTAATAGCAATCTTATCATTATCATTGGAACAACAAAAATTTGATTTGATTGAAAAATTTTAAAAAAAGCGAAAGAGTTACGGAAGAGGAATGATTTCTTATTATCATTTGATTTATTTAATTTATAACGGAGAATGAATGCTTCTTCCCATATTATCCTTTTAGATTATAGAAAATAAATACTTTCAATAT